CGGTAGTTTCGCCGCTGTTTCAAATTTTTAATTTGAGTTGAGATATAATTTTATGTGATAATTTTTTATTGTAATAAAAAAATTAATTTATAAAAAAATTTTATTATAATAAAATTTAAATTTTAAACTTAAATTGGTAAAATAAACGATGTCTTAATTTGTATAGTTTAAAATTCTAGTTTGATAAGATAAGCACATGGAAGCTGACTGTCGTTTCCTCAACCTTTTTTGGCTACCAAAACTTAAAGGCAGCCACATTTTCTGTTAGATTAAACTTAAGAGACGTTTGGTTTATGAATTAGAATCATGTTATTAGAATTATTTTTGATCTACGTGTATTTTTTATGAGAGAAAATACTGTAGCGAATCATGAACCATGATTCAAATCATGATTTGAATCCTCCAACCAAATATCCCTTTAATGGTGTATTTTAGAACCTATTTTAGGATGAAAAAAAAAATAATACGAAGAATTTTAAGATCTTATTTATTTCACCGATTTAAATTTTTAATTTTAATTTTATTACAGTTAAAAGTTCTTATAAAAAATTACATAAAACTTTTTTTGTTACAGTAAAACACTCTCACATAAAATCACATTTCAACTCAAATTAAAAACTCGAATTAAACTAAACGAGATTTCCTTGTGTTTGGAAATAGGAAAACAATGAAAAAAATCAAAGGAAAAATTTTAACTTAAAATTTACATAATAAATGTGGATTTTAATTTTTCACTCAAAATTGAGAAGAAAACTAAAGGCTTGTTCTTTTGAGTAAAAAACTCAAAAAAAATGCAACTCGAGTTACAACTTTATTCGAGTTCATGTTCTTTTAAGTTTAAATTCGAGTTTAAACTCGAGTTCAAACTCGAGTTTAAGACTAAAACTCGAGTTCAAGTTTTCCCTTCAACTCGAGTTCAGAAACTCGAACTCAAATTAATGAACAGGATTTTTTCTACTCTTAAAAATGCTATAACTTTTTCGTTTTAATTCTGATTGAGATGATTTTTTTTCTATGCATTGACAACGAAAAGACGAATAAAACCCGACCCATATACCCTATTAAAATTTTTCATCAGCATTGAGTTTTTATTAAAATACTATCTAAATACAAATTCAAGTTTTGACTCACTCAAACACAAACTCAAAAAGATTCTTATCTCAAACCATAACTCAAATGTACACAACCAAACACAAACTTAAGTTACAAGTTTAACTCAAATTATAACTCAAATTCAATTCAAAAATTATACTCAAATTAAATTCTAAAAGAACAAGCCATAAAATTCTATCATTAAAATGCTCTCTCTCTTTGTATCGGATATCACTATCTCTGTGCACGATTCCTTCTCTCTCCTTTCTCCTCTCTCTTTCTCGGGTATCACTTTCTCTCTCCTCTCTCTCACACGATTCTTTATCTCTCTTCCTCACACGACACTCCCTCTCATAGGCCCATCTCCCCCTCTCTTCTCCTCTGCCTTCTCTCTCCTCTCTTCCGCAGTAGTCGTTCTCAGCCGTGATCTTTCTTCTCTGACATGATCTGTCAACGTCCTTGCCCTGCACAGCCATCATTCATCACACCAGAGCTTGCAGTGGAATCGTCCTTAGTCATAATCTTTCTTCTCCAACGAGATCTACCGCCATCCTCACCTTTGTTGCCATCGTCTATCACGCCGGAGCTTGCTGGAATCGTCCTCCATCTGATTGCATGTTGTTAAAAAATTTTCAATTTTTTTTATAAATTTTCTTTTGGAACCTAGGTAAAAGTTTTTTATTTTTTATCCCTTTTTATTTTTTCCTTTTCTTTCAAATTTTTCCCCCACAAAACTCACTTCGAAACAAGGCCTAAAGGTCTAATTTATGATTGAAAGTAATTTTATATCACGCTTTAAATTCTTAACGTACACACTGTTAAAAAATTAATCTAATTATTAAAATAACAATATCTTTCAGTAGATAAAAAATAAAAATATAGTTCTTATCATAAAAATTCCTCTAATATTTTTTATCCAAAAGTAAAGGCTTCCAAATATCTCATTGTTTCAAAAAAAAAAAATAAAGTGAGAAAAATGCACGTTTGTTATGATTTTGTGTAGGCATATTATTTATGTCATTGTGGTCTTTTATTTTATTTTTATTAATTGAATGATAATAATTTTTTTAAGTGGTATGACATAAATATTATTTTGTATTAAATAGTAGACTTTTGAAACTAAATTAAGTAAATATCATATTTTAAAACTATTTGAGATAAATAACATTTTGTTGTGTAAATATGTCATTTAAGTGGATCTTTTTAGCAGCTTAAAGAAAATTTACGTGAGAAAAAATCTTTTTACTAATCGTAAATGAAATATTTACACAATAAATTACTATTTAATTTAAATAATTTTAAAAACTATTCTTTACTTAATTTAGTTTCATAAATATACTATTAAAAATCATAAATTTTTAAAATATACTATTTACTTAATTTACTTTAAATTATTTTAAAATATACTATTTCAAATATAAAAACAAATTTTTAACATAAAACTAATTTAAATTTTAATTATTTAATAAAAAATAATTATGCATTTTTTTATTTAAAAAATGAAAATTAAAGTCTTTAGTAACGTCAAAATCATTGCTATATGTTTGACTGGTCCTTATATAAGTTTATAATGAAAATATCTGTCGTCATTTTAATCACATTTCACATTAAAAATTTAAAAAAAATTTACTTTTTACGAGGACATATTTAAAATATTATTGTTAAATGTATCACTGATGCCATACTCCATAAGATCGTCATCACGTTATGTAATGATGATAAATCGTCGCTACATCTCAGCGACTACCGATAGTTCATGCGACGAAGTTGTAGCAACAACTTTTTGTTGTTACAAATGTTTTTGCATCGACTTTACATGATTATTTCTGTCGTCGCAAAAATGCCTCTTTGTTGTAATGTGATGCCTCTTATTTTACTTTTGATACACACTATCTCATATTTAAGTTGGATGTGTAATAAGTAATTTTTTTAAAATATTTTTGCCCTTAAAAAGTACTTTTATTAATGTGTAATTCAGTAACAATAAATTTTATTAAAAAAGAGTGTGAAAAATAAAATGTAGGGTTTTGCTCTTAATTTAAAAACATGTCATTTATCGTTAATGTAAATTAAATTGAATTGCTTTCAAATAATTGGATAAGAATATTTAAAAAAAAAAGTTCCCCTCTCATATTATCAATTTCTAATTAAAAAATGAATTTGAACCTTTTTTTTTTCAAAACCAAATTTGGCCATAATTATCGGACTTGGAGTTTGTGATAATAAGAACGTGGTATTATCCTAGACGCTAGTAAAAAGAAGTCTTAATGAGAGGATTCTCCCAAAAGGAAGAAAATTAAAAAATTAAACAAAAGAAACCTTTTAATAAACTCTAGCCAAACTCTAGTAGCTATACATAACAAAATGGTTGGAGAGCGGCGTAAAGATAAGCCTATAGACCTTGACCTTGTTTTGTTTCTTCTACGTAGACATCAAAACAAAGCAAGATCGTGATCAGTATTGAAAATCCACCAACAACATCATCAGAAAGCCCAGCGTCCAAATTCATGTCAGTTGTCAACGATGATCTACTGAGCGAGATATTGGTCCGGATCCCGACACGGCAATTCAGTGTAGCTCCGTCTCCAAGGTCTTCAATTATTTTCCACCCCGAATATTTTCACACGGCGGTTCGCCGTCATCATCAGTGACAACTAGAGATTCCCTTCGATGAGCAATTTTTTTATGGCACCTAATTACCCTATTCGCTTGTGTTTGAGTACCGTGGCGAACCGTGCTACCGAGTATTTTCCAACGACTTCAACACTCTACATGAAACTTCAAAGCCTAGTACTCAATGTACTACTTATCTGGGGCGTAGTTGCGCGAGTTGCTGCTAGTTTCGCACGGGCAAAAATGTTACTACAACCTCATTCATTTTACTGATTTAAGTTTTCAATTTCAATTTTGCTACAGTATAAAGCTTTTACAAAAAGTTACATATAACTTTTTCTACTATTTCTACTACAGTAAAAAACTCTCACATAAAATCACATCTCAGTTTAAATTAACGAACTGAATGAGACCTACATGTGCAATCCACTCACTAGAAAGTGGCACGCCCTCCCCGAGGCTCCTATATTACGACGTGAGGTGAAGTGTCACATGTTGATGTGAGATCCCAAGAATAGCTACAACTACAAGGTCGTGCTGATCTAAATGCATGCTTTTAAAAATGTCAAAATATAGTTTCTTACCATATAAAATTATCTTCTATGCCTTTATAGTTAGCTATTAATTGTTCTCTTATAATTACCTTTCCTTATTTTAAGGTTAATATTTGATCATTTGAAATATTGTGTGAAAGCATGCTCTAATTATATCTATACATGTATTGGTGTTATTATATGTAAATGCTTGCATAGATTTACTATCATAGTTCTTTACGATCAAGATGTTGAGTACTCATTTTTCTTTCTTTCTTATACTTTCTAGGTATTGCTTCCAAAATAATCAATCAAACAAACACAATGGAGGATGTCTCTGGTGCTTTTAATGATTTGTCCAATGTGATAAAGTGCAAGGTATTGCTCTTGTATCAATAATAGATAGGATATATAGTAGCTTGAAACATGACTAATGACTAGTACTTCCGTATAGAAAAAATTTTCTTAACTATATATAAATGTATAGAGAGTTTCTCCGACAATCCGCCCCACCAGTAGTCTTAGTTTATATCCATTAAATCTGGTTAAAATCACGTTAGATTAAAAAAAATATACATAATAGACAAATTTTGATATAAATCTACTGAAAAATAAAAGACTACCAGTAATCTACATTAACCAGAAGTATTAAAGAAGTTCCCATATGTATATATATATATATATATATATTTACAAACCTTTCTCTTTCTCTCCCTTTTCCTCTCGT